CATACATCTATGGCTAACTGATTTGCAATGAAGGTGCCAAGAACACTCAGTGGGGAAAGGATAGTCTCTTTAATAAATGGTGTTGAGAAAATTGGATATCCACAAGAGAAGAAAGATACTGGACCCCTATCTTTCACCATATACAAAAATCAACTCAAAATGGATTAAAGACTTAAATGTGAGATCCAAAACTATGAAAGTACTAGAAGACATAATAGGGGAAATATTTCACGATGTTGGACTGGGCAAAGATTTTTTGGATAAGACTTCAAAAAGTACATCCAATAAAAGCAAAAGTAGACAAATGGGATTACATCAAACTAAAAAGCTGCTGCACAGCAAAGAAAACAATCAACAGAGTGAAGAGACAACATATATAATGGGAGAAAATATTTGCAAACTATGTATCTGATAAGGGTTAACATCCAAAATATATAAAGAACTCACCTCAATAGCAAACAAATAACCCAATTAAAAATAGGGCAAAAGACCTTAATAGACATTTCTCAAAGAAAAGACATACAAATGGCCAAAGATATGAAAAAACCGATCAACATCAGTAATCATCAAGGAAAGGCAGATCAAAATCACAATGAAAATCACCTCTCTCCATTTATCAAAAAGATAAAAAAATAACAGGTGTTGGTGAAGATGTGGAGAACAGGAAACACTTACACACTGTTGGTGGAATTGTAAATTAGTACAGCCATTATGAAAAACAGCATGGAGATTCTGCAAAAGATTAAAAATGAAACTACCATATGATTCAGCAATCCCACTACTTGGTATATATGCTAAGGAAATAAAATCTGTATGTGAAAGAGATGCATGTGTATTGCAGCACCATTCACAATAGCCAGGATATGGAATCAACCTATGTGTTCAAAAACAGGTGCATGGATAAAGAAAATGTGATACATACACACAATGGAATACTATTAGGCCATAAAAACAATGAAATCCTGTCATTTTTTGACAACTTGGATAAATACGGAGGATGTAATGTTATGTGAAATAAGCGAAACACAGAAAGACTTCAGCCCTCAAGTTCCTACATCCAGCAGGAACACAGATACTGAACAAGTAATTACTTTTGAGTGTGATAAGGATTATATGGTTAAAATAACATACTGTGGGATGGTAAATTTCAGACTAGATTTCCTAAGTCTGAGCCTTGAAATGTAGGACTGCAGAGATGAGTGGGGAGTTAGAGATCTTTGTCTACATTTCTCGATTAGAGGTGATAAAACTTGAATTGTCAATTTGTACTCACTTAAATTGAGTGGGAAAGAAAGAGGAGCAAGAGAGAAGACTGGAAGTATATGTGGGCAGAGAACCAACTAAGAAGAGCCTTGAGAACATTTTACGGAGTTTGGACCTCATCACAAAGGTGATGGAAGAATCTTGAGCAGGAATATGTTACACCCAGATTTCATTTCCAAAAAAAAAAAAATGGCTCTAGTGACAGAGTGAAGAATGAATTGAAGAGGCTATTGTTTTTATACGGGCCTGAAAATGCAGGGCCTGGTCTAGCATGTGGCAGTCAGGGAGAGAGAAAAAATACAACTCTAGGACCCAGGAGCAGAATCACACACCAGTGCATTTCTGGATGAAAAAAATGAAAGAGAAAAAAACTGATATTGTTAGAGTATTGTGCAAAGAACAGTCTGCCCAGTTGAAGAGTTTATAAGAATAATATTTCCTTAAAACAGATTTGAAAACTGGTTCAGCAGAAGGATGAGAAGTTTCAGTATTTCAGCATCTGTTGAAAATTAATTTCATTAAACTCTGAAAGGTTCTTCACTTGAAGCAGTGCTACCACTCAGAATTCAAACGTCTTAACTTGGGGAACTAGTCTCAATTTAATTCTATCCACATGGTAGGAAGTGTCATTATATTCTAGTGGTTCTGAAAAGTTCAATGTGGCTAGAACACTGAAAACAAAGGAAAGCATTATACAAAATAAAGCTGGGGGGATTTGATAGGGCCAAGCCATGAAGGGCTTTGTTGATCACATTAAGAAGTCTGGTTTTTGTTCTATAGCAATAAGAAATCCTTAAAAGTTCTATTAAATGGAATAACATGAGTAGAGCTGCAGAGCACTGGGGCAGAAAAGTGGAAAGCTTCTTGGAGCAGGACAAGAATAGATTTGAGAGACTAGTATATTATTAGGAATTATGTTTGGCTGTGAATAACAAAGTCTAAATATGGTGGCTTAAACAAGGAACTTTTGTTTTTTTCACTGAGTGAGACGTCTGGAGGCAGGCAGTTGTTGTGTTGGGTCAGCGGTTCAGATATTTGCAGTTCTCTTGGACTTTACTCCATGGTTAGTCAGTTACCATACAACATCTGCTCACCCCCAGAATGATTAGGTTCAGCTCTAGATGCAACAACAGAGCAGGAAAAATATGGAGGGCAAAGAGTTTCCCCTTTAGAGACTTTCTTAGAAACCCCGCAAAACCATATCCATTTACCTCACATTGGTCAGGATCTTCACATCCCATTCCATGTACTATCTGCTAAAGAGGCTAGGAAATGTAATTCTTTTTCAGCACATTGGCAGCCCCAATAAAATTTGAGTATTCTAATAAGAAAGAAAGAAGTGTAACATTGGGTAGGTACCTATAACCAGGAAGAAGGAGACATTAGTTCAAGTAAATAGTGTTATAGCTCAGATTAGAGTGAGGGAGGTAAAAGAAAAAGATGTAGTCTAGAAATAAGTGCAGTAGAAGTATTAGGACTTGGTTGTGGATTCAGACATGGGAGTGATGAGAAAGAAGGTGCACAAAATGCATCTATGTATGTGATGAATTTAGGACCAGGTTTTGAGAAATAAGACAACAGGTTCAGTCTGAATACATGTTGAGTTTGAAGTGGCTTTCAAACATCCATGTTCATCTGATAATTGCTTTTATGGATCTGGAGCTCAGAAGAGAGGTCTAGGCTAGAAATGTAAATTCTGGAATCATCAGAGAATGGTCAGCTCTTACTCTGCCCCAAGTACAAGACATTTGGGAAAAACAGTAAAATAGGTCATGATCACTTAGCACACATAAGATCTGGAGACAGAGGTTTGAACCAGTCGGGAACATGTTAATACTGCTGTTGGTGTTGCTGCTGCTGCTGTTTTAAATCTGGCGCTTGTAAACTTTTGAAGGGGAATGCC